CGAAAAAAAAAAAAAAAAAAAAAAATAAAAAAAAAGAAAATAATATATCTCTTCAACCAGTTGTGGCTAAAACACGAAAAAAAAAAAAAAAAAAAAAAATAAAAAAAAAGAAAATAATATATCTCTTCAACCAGTTGTGGCTAAAACACGAAAAAAAAAAAAAAAAAAAAAAATAAAATATATATATATATATATATATATATATATGTTTATGGATTTTTTTCACAGAGAAATCCAAACAGAAGTATAATTTCCCCCTCAAAAAGTCCAGCTGAAACAAAAAACTTTCTCTGACACTTTAAAAGGACTTATTAGTAGAGATGTAATTAGTTTATGAGACATACCTGCCTTTAAAAAAAGATAATTAGTTGAAAGTTTACTTTCAGCATAGAAATTGATCATTCTTGCCTACCTGTACAAAGTTTTGCTATGTTAAAAGTCAAATCAGGAAGTTACCAGTAAGCAAATGTTAAAACTAATTTCCACATTGTTAAAATAAAAAAGATATTGTGAAAGAAGGAAGGAAATGTCGATTATAATCTGCTATCTGTGCTCAAATGAAAGATTGACTTCACAGTTACAGGACGTTAATATTGAAACACACAGCTACCAGGAAAAGGGATATAAACTAAAACCAAAATACTCACGACTGCGTCACTGTGTTGGGCCTGCCTAACAAACATGACATCAAGTGAGGCGTTTAGATTTCCAGTGGAAAAATGAGTCATGGGCTCAAAGCAAAAAATTTCCATCCTCCTGTCCTCCGTCCCTATCCCAAATTTAAATTAAAATCATACCAACTTGTATCTTGGAATGAGGGAAATCCAAACTCTTGCTGTGGTGCATCACCATCAGGTATGTGGTATGCTTTACTTGATACGAACATTTTTCATTTGTGATGTTTCATGTGACATCATCTTGTGAATTGCAACAAGTGATTTCAACTGACTACCCCCTGCTGACTTTCTCCAGCATTTTACTGAAATCATTCCCAAGCTGTATAAGAGGTGACAGAATATTTTAGAAACTGTAATATTTTAACCAGGGCCTGTTTAATGCTTCACTTGTTAGATTAAGATAAAAAAGATGAAAAATGGTCAAACGCAAAAAAATTCATGGAAAATTCAGAGCCGCTCTTTTGTTTTTTTAATGCGTTACAAAATAAAAATAAACTGAAACAATGTGAAGTTGGTCACTGTAGCACAGAAACAGCTACAGAATGGATGGTTGTGGCGTCATGTGAAGTCAGCGCACTGACTTGGTTGTAAATCAGAGCAGAAAGTTTAAAGAGTTTTTCTGCTTACCTCTGCGCCCACAATCTTCTTCCTGTAAACACACAAAGATACTCAGCATGACTGTTGTGCTTATGGCCACATAATTTTGTTCATCTGGATTTTTGTTGACTCACGGTAATAAATCAAAGAAAACCTCGACATTTACCGGGAAGCAGTGCAGGCTCGACTCTGGCGGGTACACGATGAAATGCCGCAAAGTGAACCCAAACCCCAGGGATGTGCGGCGTAAGCGCACGGTTTTGGGCCTCGGCCAAGCGAACGGCTCCTCTTCTGTGGAGTACTGCACTGCAGGACAGTCAGCCAAACTTTGCCTCTCTGCAGAGTCCTTCTGCACAGAAAAGAAAGACGTAGGAATTATTGAGCATAAAGTCTTTCTGATCCATTAAGACAGCTTTCTTCTGTAAATAAGAGCTCTTAGAAAGATTCAAAGCTGACAACAAAACTACCATAAATAAATAAGTTTCAGGACGAACATGACATTTCTTGTTCATTTGCTGCATGCTAAAGCTGCTAGCAACACTTTTTTTATGAAATCAAACAAACCCCTTCTGTTGAAATACTTTTACACCAATAGGACATGTCATTGTCAGGTTTTCTATTTGCTTTGCTGATGTTGTAGTTGTTATTTAATCAAGATAGAAACTATCCTCTAAAAAAAAACAAGCTACAGCATGCTGCTGTATGCTGAACCATATTAGCCATAAGGCAACTTCTTAGAATTCTTTTCGGTAAATCCAATTATATTTATCTTGTTCCCCCACCGCCCTCTTGATCGGTATATTTTTTGTTTTTACTTTAATTGCTCCATCAAATGTTCATACTTAATTATGAATGACCACAAGAAAAAGGTTAAAGGAGTATAGAAGAGCCCTGCGACAGACTGGCGACCTGTCCAGGGTGTACCCCGCCTCTCGCCCGGAACGTTAGCTGGAGATAGGCACCAGCACCCCTCCCGACCCCACTGAGGGACAAGGGTGTTCAGAAAATGGATGGATGGATGGATGGATGGATGGAGTATAGAAGATTGTAAAACATTCAAGAAAATAATTAAAACACATGAAAATGAAACAGAATGATGTCCCCTCCTTCGTCTTTGTTAATGCCAACTGATCAGGTCAGTTTTTGTAACGAAAACCAAACACCCAGAGCAGAAAATGCTTTTTTTTTAATGTTATTTGTGGATCTCTGAAAATGAAATTCAAACTTTAAACATACAGTTGTGTTTTTATGGTCAGTGTGTAATTGTTAGTGCAGCAAATTTTAGAGTAGGATTCATTTTTAAGAGGGATATATTGTAAGTTTGGAATAACAACAAGAGCAAAGTTTACAGCTGGAACAGAGCATGTCAGCCTTCACATTTTAAGGACACACACTCCTGTGTTTACAGCCTATTTATGGCCTCACACCTTTGTTGTTTCACACGTGTAGCAGCAGCAACAAATTTACTTAAGTTCCCCTGCAACAGTACATGTTCAGGGATATCTGAGATGTTAAACCAAAAACAAGCAGACTCCCTCCGCAACCCCCCAACCAGTTTCAACCATTTCTCCCAACCCCCAGAGGGACAGACCTTTCCCCACAATGTGAGGAATTTGATGAGCTTGCATTAATTGTATCTCTGTCTGTGGCTGAGATATTTGAGTAAAATGTCAAACCCAAAAATGTGCAACATGCTGCAATAACCGAGTAGATCACAAAGCAAAGATTTTACTAGAGGTTTACCTGCTTATGAACATGTAAAATCTGCACAAACATGTTTCAAGCAAATAAGTCTAAATATGCTTCCCACCTGTTCCAGCTCTAACAGGAAGCAGAGAATAAGTCAAGCACAAAGAAAATGAACAGTTTGCGTGCAGAAACTTAATAAAAAGAGAACATTACTTCTCACACTTGCTGAATTAATGCAAATACAGTTTGTGCCTGGAGGTATGTGCCGTGTCAAAGCAGGTTTTAATAAGCTCGTCGCAACCTATCTTGCAGCATTTCTGCTTTTCAGCAGCAAAGTTATGAAAGGAACAAACACTTTAAGCCAAAGCACACCAGAAGTGATAAGTTTAGCTATAAAGTATATATGAAGGAGCTCAAACGTGCATGCCTCTGAATAAGAACCGACTGTACGGCTAAGTGGGATGGGAAAAAAGACCTGCAGGTGCAGCTGCCATCCGCGTGTTTTGATGAAACTCGCAAAACAGGTTTTACCGTGTATAAACAAGCTTTGTCTATTCAGCAACTCTGGCACTTTCAGATTTAAGCTTATGCCAGTGTTGGATCCCCGAGTGTCTTTAAGGAAGTAGACAAACACTGAAATTCATCCTTTAAGTAGTACTTGTGGTGAGGGCTATAAATCAGCAGGACGTCAGAAATGCCTGCACCGATGCCCGACGCGTCTCCAGGGTGGGCCGGACCCACAATACTGGATCTGATTTGGAAGGCAGTGCAGAGGGTAATTTCCACTCCTCTGATCTTTAGGTGCGGACAGACAGGGGCAGTGGGCCTCCTCACAGACACATGCCTTGCGGTGTTAGCATTGCCACTTGCAAAGTTAATGCTGTGACATTCCAGGTCAATAAATTCCAGACCTGCATTTCTCCCGTGGTTCCCTCTTGTGTTTAACCGAAATAAAGTACAACGGCTATGGTTAGAGAACAGACCGGACCTCTGGGAAAACCTGAAAGAGCAGGCTGAGGCGGCGCGGCAAGAGGTCAAAGGAAAAATTGACAAAAAGGAAAAAAGCCGACTTGCTACAGAAAGGAGTAAAAGGAAGTCAAACATCAAAAGGACACACCTCTCCTTTCCTGTCCACAAGTGAATGCCTCTCAGTCATTCATGAATCACTAGAATGCCAGAATGATATTTGTGCTGGGTGAGGCAGCTGGGAGAACATTTGTCTCTCAGCTGGATGTCTCCTGAAAATGAAAAGTGATCTGCTCTATGTCAGGGTCACCAGGATACCACTTCACAGTAAACACACCTTCTAGTGAAACCATTCTTTATACTTCCAGTAAAAAAAAAAAAAAAAAAAAAAAACTCCAGATGAAACTCTCAATTTTAGGTAATTCTCCAAAGACATATTTTCATGTTTGAATTAGAGTGCAACAATTACAGACCTCCAGTTATTGTAAAGCTGTGACTTTCAATTTCTCTTTGAGAATTACAACAAGTGTTTAAAATACCATTTTCTAGCTTCTCACGTTAGTAGAGGCAACAACACTGAGAAGTGTATAACAGAGGAATCACTGGACAGAAAAAAGACAAAATGGTGACAGGAGTTACACATTTAAACTTCCTTTAGTCTCCTACAACGACGTTTAGCAGGATTAGTCTGGTTAGCAGTGGTAACTTAATCATGACAACTTATAGCATGCGCTTTCGTCTCTGCATGACATTTTTTAAGTGCATGAATGATGGTGAGGTTAAAACAACCTGGTAGGCTGGTCAAACAGATTTTTTAAAACATTACACGTCCCCTTAGTTAAAATTGAGGATATTAGAGCTCCAGTTTTAAATACATATTGTAAAATCTCAAGGACTACATGTTAATAAACTGGGCTGTTTTCATAGCTTGCCTGAACAATAATGAAGGAGTAATAGCAGTTTGCGTTACTGTACTTTATGCTCACATTTAAAAGAACTTTACAGAAGTTAACAATCTTTGTCAAATGCTTAATGTTCCAAGCTAATTCCTCACCACATGCGGCCATTTAAAGTAAGACTGTAAAGGCTGAGATTGAGGGAAACCAACCACATCAAAGCCACTTCTAAGAATCGGATGATTTACTGAACATACACAGCTGTTTATACGCTACACGTTTTAGTGCCCAAATACAAGGCACACTGACAAAAACACAATTTCCGTTTTCCACTTAATTTAATCCTTTTGCACGTAAAAGCTCTGTTGATGTTATTCAATGTCACATTATCACATCACATGACATCAGACCTGAAAATGCCACAACCTCAAAATGTGAGAAAACTTGGTTCTCTGTTGGCTGCTAAATTCTACACCACATCCCAGTTAAACCGAGCACCATGCTGTGAAAAGCCAGGGATAATGATACAGAGGACAAAGTCCTTGACGTATCAGCTTTGGAGCTCCAGACAAGGTCAGAAGCATCGTTATTCATGCTACATGTGTCATATACTTAAGTATTAAGTAGACTAAGTCCTGCAGTCTACTAAATTTCTAAAATTCCTGACGTAAAGTACGGCAGGAATTTTACGTAATTTACTAAATTGCCACACATTTTCAACGTCTTAAATCTCTGCAAATCATTTTTTCAGTGATCTAACCCTTAAGATTCATTGCTCACGACAGTGTGATTCAAACTTAGCACTTAGTTTCACCCAGTTTTCGTTTGACCCTAACATGCCATAAAAAAGGAGGTGTTTTGACCTTACAAAAATATCATTCTGAACACAGGATAAAATAAGAAGGTGTTGCATTTCTCTCTGTATATTTTTATGTTTTGTCTGTCATGTTATAAAAATAGAAAAAGTGGTCAAATCATCCGATACTGATCTATCTGGAACCTGCCATAAAAATGACAAATAAAACAACATGTCACTCAAATATTCATTCCAAAGACATCCATGTGCTTATTTTTCCAGGTGTGATTTAGGGACTTAAATTTGCACCTTTCTATATGAGCAGAAGTATTTTCATACAGTATTATTACCTTCAGTTTTACATCTGATTTTTGTCACAGTTTCGCTCTTTACAAGCAGTGGTGGAGCGCTCCACGTAGTCCTGGACAGTTTGTTTTAAAGACCACTACATTACAAAACAATGCAATAAATGGTAGTTTGTTTTAAGTAATTTAAGAAAAAAGAAATCGCTATGTTGGAGATGTTTTGAATAAACGAAAACCAAACACAGATGATAAACGTTTTTCTAATATGGTAGGTAGAGGCAACATTTAATTAAAATATCCAAAAACAGTCAAAATCTGTTTAGACTCATAAAGGTTAAAACTATTCAGCAAACGTAAGCAGTAGTGTGGCAGGCCAGTAAAAAGCACAGAAACTGAGCTAATCACACCAACTTCTGTCAAATGACCTGAGCAGCACGCCGAGCTCGCCTTATCTGTTCAAGGCCACCAGCTCCCGCATCTCTCAGTAACATTTACAGACGGATTTGATTCATATCAACATGAAAGTGTCATCTGTTTGTTCCAGAACACAGTTTTTGGTTTCATATCAGCCTCTCTGTCCATGTCTACTATAAACTACCTATGGCTGAAACAAGAAATTTTGCACAGCATTACCATGAACGGTCGATCAACCATTCCCATGGTAGAAGTTGCAACCTAAGTTGTGTCGCACATGAAAAGGCAACAAGGTGCTGGTGAGGGTAGATAAAGCTGAAGACATGTTAGTTCTTGTTGTTGGAACACCAGATGGGAAATTATACGTTTCATCTTTGGGCTACTTGTTCTAGCAGAGTTGGGAAATATCACACATTTACTACAAAATCTGGATATTCTTCCATTTTTTTTTATTTGTCATGCAGGCTGGACACAGTGACAACTGAACAGACCACACAATAGACAAACGCCAACAAAGGTGGAACTCTGGCTTTCCATGTATTTTATAATACTGATAAGTGATTAGATTAAAATTAGAATATTATATTAGACACACGGGTACTAAAAAAAATGTTAAACTAACATCAGCCTACATTGGTTTTTGCAAACGTAATAAATTACAAAGTGTAATTCTAAATTGGAACTCATCCTATTCTATAGCATCACAACATTTACAAAAATATTGTAAATGACCAACTTATATCTTGACCTGAAACATTGGTTGGTTAAAAAAAAAATAAAAAAAAGTCACTGCAACCAACCAAACTGAATGTGACTGTTAATTAGTGACTTGCTGTGTCAGCTCTTTCTGCTCAGTTTGTCACTAATGACTCACTATTCAAGATTTCATGAGTTATCTATACCAGAAGGGAAAATCATCACAGGCAAGTGATGAAAGAGTTGGCACAACAAGGAAAAACTGAATCACGCAGGCCATCTCTTCTGTTTTCTCCAGAGACACTGCAGACACAACCTTAACACAACAGGAAGTAACAGACTTCTTCTATCCAATTGAGGGTAAATTTGCCCTTCCGATTGCCATCAGTTAGCCATGCGATGCCTGCAGAGAGGCTTCTGTAAAAGACAGCCATCCTAAATGAGACAAACAATGAGATTTAATGAAGCTAAGATTGTTGGGATGAGATTGAGGGCAGGGGGAGGTCAATATCCCTCCTGCAGTACTAAATATGGATTTGGACTTCCTAATCTACAAGAATCAATTTAAGTCGCTGCGCGTTTCTATTGTTCTACTGGAAAAGGAAAAGTAGGTATAACTCAATATAAAAAAGCCAATTATGAACAAATAAAAGTTCCAGTTGAATCCTAAAAGTCAGCTTGATATAGTAAATATAATAAAGCAGCATAAAAAAACAGAGCTATCCAAACAGTAGCAGTTTTATCAGCACCTAATCTGAAGATCTGTGTGGTTTGTTTAAATACCAAGCACTATTCAGCTGATAAGCCAGACAGACACTTTAGTGTCAGTTGTTTTTTGTTTTGGTTTTTTTCCCAGGGAAAAAGAAAAGAGGAATACAAGACAAATCCCTCAACAAATCCTTCTGATACAAATCAAAGATAATATTTTTCAAATCTCATTCAAAATTAAATGAGAGCATGAAAACTCTCAACTTTAGAAAGTCAACCAAACTGAGCTGCTGTGGAAAAGCAGTCAGATATTTTTTTTTTTTTTTCTGTGAGCCAACATAACGAAGTTGTGATTTTTTTTTAGGACCTTCATTATGTTAACAAAGTTAGCTCCTGAGAACTGCCAAACTGAGCTTTGCTTTGTTGGAGACATCACGTCTCTTCCTCCCTGTTTACAGCTCAAGCAAAAACATGCTTTCTACGGGAAAAAAAAAAAAAAAGGCATGTCAGAACCTATTCTGACTGATTTCTATCACATTTCATTTCCAAGACATATTTGTAAACTTGTCTACTCCTTGGAAAATTCTTGAGTTAATATTCCATCCACAATTTTAATTTTCAAAACTCCCCCTGAACCGAAAGCTCCAGGGGATTTTCCAGATTAAAATTAGCATGAGCTGGTTAAGGCGGTAGTTTGATTAGAGAGACGACTAAAAGGAGGATTTCCTCAGACTGAACTAAGGGTTTGTCTTTCACGCTATTACAGAGCTAACCTCAGCATTCTGAAAGATGCTTATTTATGCCTAGTCCATTTGTGTGATGGGGTCTTCTGTTATGAAACGTAACATTTTCAGTTCACTGACAGCAGTATTCTGTCTGTAACTGGGTACAAGAACCAAGTCTCTCAAAAATCTGTGACTTACTTACCAGACCAGCGACCAGGATATTCACCACAATATGAAAATCTAAAGCAGGTGACACTTTTAGGGGAGCAGATGGTGTCCCTGTCTGGTATTACAGGGGCTACGTCTTAAAAATCTGAGGCTTAAACAAGCAGCTGCACTGTTGTTTTGTCCGCCTAACTCCATAAATCATAAGCTTAAATACATTTTTAATCTAATTATAGTACTTCTTTTCAATGTGTTAATCTACGCTGCAGACTAATTTAGTTACAAACTTGTGGTCATGTCTAGTTTTTTGTAGGAGAGCTTTGTAGGGCTACATGATATTGGAAAATCCTGTAAATACTGCGATGATGATGGCAGTTACGATTTACGTCTATTATCTTCTTTCCCCTCTTTCTCATCTGTGCTTCCTACGCTCTGTGACCTTTAGTATTTTGGGTAATCTTATTTGTGTCCGGCGTAAATATCTGCTGCTGTGAAACTCTGTCCAACTGGTTAAATATTATGCTAGCAACAATTACCGCACTCCAATCTGTCATTTAAGAAATGAATATTGCACACAAATATATTGTAATGATATATTTTTAAGTAATTGCGCTGCATCAGTGCTTCAAGGGGTAGCTTTAATTTTGGGTGTTAAGCCTCAAAATGTCTTTTTTATTATTCTAACTTTTTAGTTTTCCAATAAGGTCTTTAGTCCCAAAATTGTTATGTTTTTTCCCCCCTCTCTGTCCCAATGTAACACCACACAATAATGAGACTAGAATAAATAATCAGTATTGAGATAAACAGCAAAAACATCTTACAGAATCAAAAATAGTTCGAAGCAGAACTTGCATCCACAAAAATCTAACTATCAATGCTAATGTTAGCACCAATATGTTATACGTTTCTAATGGTAACTGCGCTCACCTCACAAAACGAAGACCTTGCTTGATGCCGCTCATCTTCTTCAGTGGGAGCCCAACGTGATGCCATCATTCAACTTCAATGGAAATCTTGCTGTCCGTAAACGCCCACATTGAAAAGCTCCCGCAAAATCCAAGAAAAGATGTTTGGATTTATACCTCCATGGCGGCTAGCTCTCCTAGTCCATCTGTTATAGAAACATATTACAAGGTTTAAGTATGGTGTTTAATTTATTAAACTTAAAATCCACTGTGCAGTTCTGACAAGCCTCACTATCTGAGACCCGGAATGGACTGGGTGTATTCATAAAGCAGAACATCTCTGTTTGAGATCTAGTTGCTAGTTTAACTTTTAGAAAAAAGAAAAAAAAACATTAAGTCTGTGCCATTGTATGAAGAAATAAGTAAACAATTTGACAAGAGACGCACCACCAATTGATTGAAAACTGGCAGAATGTTATTAGTTCAGCTTTAATTGTTGCTTAGAAAGTACAATGCTGGATTTTTCTTTAATACGTGAAATTTGGACCTAAAAAAAAAGGCAATTTGTAAAAAATTCTCATCGGTTTCTCTATGAGTGTAAGAAAGTGAAAGAAAAAAACTGCTCCACTGGATAAAATCAGTAATAGTCAAAAACATGGTATATGGATTACATAATCAGATTACAAAATCTGTTCCCGTAATTACACCAGATCTTGGTTAAAAAGCCAGGAAACCGTCTAGCAATAAACCAACACACCAACAGAACAATTTCATTTTATGTTTTTCTGCTTGTTTAAAAGTATCATTGTGACAACAGTAGGGAAGATTGACATGAATGTTTAGCCTGAACATTTTAAATATTTTTCATGTGCCAAAAATGTTTTTCTGGCTTTTTTTTTCAGAAGGTTGCAAATTAGTTAGTCCATTGTAACTAACCAATTTCATTATTTCATATAAATAAACAAATATCCAGTAACCTATTCAAAAGTAAAAACCAATATTAACAATCAATGAAAACAACGTAATTTTGACTTTGATTAAAATAAATAAATAAAACAACTCTACATTGGTATCGGCATCAAAACGTATTAAATACAATTTCTGGATTCATAGCAAGTGTTATTTACGTACATTACGTGAGCATCGGAAGCCTTTTCATAAAATATGCATTATGATACTGATCTCAGCTCTAAGTAATCTAACCCAACACAAACATACACATCATTGAATATGAACTAGGCAACATCTACAGCGATATACAACCCAAAAGCTAAATTTAAATGTTATTATGGGAGAACAAAACATGGATGATCTCAGGTCAGCCTAATGAATGGCCAGCAACAAGTGGACTAACAGACGAGAGGCAGGGCGGAAAAAAACTGTGGATGACTTTAAAACTACTTTACATAGTTTTTGTGCAGAAGTTAATGTTGGTTGTTATTCTGTCTCCAATAACAAAACGACAGTTTTGTGTTTTGAGAAGTCTTATCGTTTTTGTCACTATGAAATCGATAGAGTACGAACACAGCGTGTCGAGCTGTTGTTCTCCAGCGCTCAACAAAAGACGCTTTGAATTTGTTACTACTCACAAATTACTGCCGAGAAAAGTTAGAAAGTACATATGGGACACTATACCACCATTTCGCGATTTAGTACACAGCTATATGAATTGAGAAAATAAACAAACAACACAGCTGCGGCAACAGGCTGCTAGCGGTTAGCATTTATGCTAACATGGTTGAGTTAACAAAGTTACCTGTGTAGTTGAGAAGCGTCATAACAGGAGCCAAACTGAGGCAGTGGTTGTCCTTAACAGCGAGCAAACAAACTAAACACATCGTGTGTGAGTTTGTATTTTTTTCAGAAACTGTCCAAAGAATCCATAAAATGTCAGTATTATCGACTTCCCGGTGATTAATCCAAACCCAATGAGTGGAGGCGCATGGTGCAGTTCTGTGGTTGGAGTTTTTTTTTTTTTTTCTTTCCAGCTTTCCCGACTCCCTGGGAGTCCACCTTCAGTCAATAGGGCACTCTCCACCAATCACAGGCGGTGTTTCATTTGAGCGACCCAATCAGGTATGGGTTTACGGAATTTTGTGGTTTGTCTGCAAAACTTTGTTTTTAATCGTTCCCTCAAAACGTCGAGGACATTTGTCAACTATGACTGCCAATACACCCTGGCGTGTTGTCGAAAAGCTCTGTACTTACTGCACATATGCTTTGTAACCAAAAACCGCTGTAGTTTCTACACACAAGGTTAAATAAGAAATCACATGCTGTGGTTCAGTGTGAGGTCGAGTTGGGTATTTTGATGCGGAAAATGTCTTCACGCATACCGCAGTGTATTTAGATTGCATTTCTGATCAAAGAATAGCTATGATTAAAATTACATCTCAACCCAAGAGACAAATTGTGCGGATTTAAATCAGTACCCCGTCTCCCAGGGCTTGAACAAATGTTCCTTTTATGCCTCTCTAACATAAGGGGCCACCTGTTCTTGGAGCTGGCAGCTTTTGTTGCAGAGGGCAGTTCAGGGAGGAGACTTTCATTAGGCTGTACTGTCCAGTCGGTTGTGCTTTGTAGTGAATATATATTTTAAAATCTATTTTTAAATTATGGGTTACTGCGAATATTTATTTTAATTGCCTTCAAAGATTGGGATAGAACTTAATTTAATTGAGGAAAAAATAGGTACACAGTCTGTGGAATAGAATTTCAGTATTTTTCAGGCTTGTTTAATTCTAAAATTGAATTTGTGTTTGTATTGTATTTTGAGCTGTCCATCTTTAAAGCCCAACCACTATATAAATCACTGTAGTGAATTCTTGATTGACACCATAGTTTACTGTTCACTTTATAGTGGGAATTCTCAAAATATTCTCCTTAGCACTCTTGGTTGTTACTTCTTAATAGAGCTACATAACAGCTGGCATGTACAAAATGTCCTGTGAGTCAGAACAGTCATATTTGGACAACAGTTTGAGAACCTTGCATCTAGAGAATGTGGTAATATTCTTCTGTTGAAGGATTTAATCAAGACATTATTGTGTTTGAGCTCAGTTCTGTTGAAAGGTCAGTCAGTTACCTGCAATCCCCAAAAGACCCTATAAAAGCCAAGAAGAAAACCGTCTCGTCCTTCTGGCACTTCATGTTCCCAGCTCAGATAGTGAGAGTCGAATGTCAGGTGTAAACAATGAGCAAAGGGATCTGAAGCATCAAACCCGCTTTTGTTCCTTTTAATGGTTCATATTTGGGTCACCTTTTTTTTTTTCCTTTAAGCCTCCCTAGACTATTAACTTGAAGTTTTATGTTCCCGCTCTGACCAGGTACAGACCAACTGACAAAGTTTTTGTCTAACCAAAGATGTGGGGTGTTCTGAAAAAGGCTCACTAAATGTTCTTCCTCTTGGGATTCATAGTTTTGTCAAAGGATAATGCCACCCAAATTAATTAGTGAGGAACTAGAAATGAACAAAACCAGGGGCCCATCTCACATTTCCCAAGGATATCCTTATGATTTCTTTCCCAGACTTTTTGGAAAATACTCTGTGAACTTACAAATCCTGAAGGAAAAGTTTATTTGTGACCAAGATCAACATATTTGGGTTATTTAGCAGATCCAAAGTACACATAGGCTCAAAACAATAAAATTAAAGTTTTTGAGTGGCTTAATCCAAGTGCAGACTTTAAGATGCAGTGGCTGTTCATACTCGCATACCCTCCACTGTGGCTTAACTCTGCGAAGAAGAGTGAGCCAAAATTCATATTGACAGCAAAGCAAAAGACTCACAAGCGCTTGATGGGCTGCAGTTGTTGCAGGCTCAAGGGGCAATTACTTTCTGACACAGGCTCAGGTTGGTATTGATAGCTTTTTTTTCTCAAGTCATCATTCAGAAACAGCATTTTATGTATCTTGTTAGATACTGATTTGATGATTTGACTCATACCATGACAAGAAATGACATCTGTCTTGCAATCACCCAGAATATTGTGTGGGTGTCTGGGTTTCCCAGTTTCCTCCACGCCCTGGTTTCTGATAAGTGAGGAACAATGAACATATGATCTTCTAGGACCTTAAGTTGCGAGAACTCATTGGAATGTTTCTCATTTAGTAGCAGTAAAAAGAAATATATTTAAAAAAAATACTTAATCCTAGATGCATGAATGACTGAACTCATTTACTTTTCCACTAGTGCATAAAAAACTATCAGTGTTAAAATCAATATGCTTTCATATCACTTTTTTCTGGTTACCATTAGTCATTTCATCCACAAAAGAATACTTTCACATTTGAAATATTTTTATTCCCCACACCCAATTTTTTTTATTTTACAATTTTTAAAACAGTGTGTTAAAAGAAACCAACTCAAACACTTAGGAATAGAAAAAGTTAGAGGTAGTTAGGACACTTAGTTTTGACAATACTACTGTACATTGTTGGCCCCTGAGCATAGACAGAAGAGTAGCCTAATAAAACTGTAAAACAAGTAAAGAAAAATGATTAAGTGTTCATATTGTATTGAAATATCTTATACTTTTCATTGTAAAGGTTTCCTTTGTTGTTTACATACATTACAGCATACAACTTCCTATTATCAAGCCCTTATTTAAATATAAGCAGCTTTTTATATATGTAAACAAATGTAGTGTGACTATTTCTTTATATTAAAAAAATATAATCACAGATACTTGTGGTGTGTTACCCTATTGAACTATAAACACGTAAAATGAAATGTAACCACAGCTATAGTTGGGGATTAGATGCAATCACAGCCACTTGTCAGAGAACTCCAGAAAAATGTGTGGGCTTGCTGTAAAAAGGACATCCACATGACAGAGCCTTCTGTCGCCGTTTGTCTTCAAACCTTATATTTCTTCTTTCCACTTTCACTAATAATGCAAATGTGCTTTAAAAAAAAAGAAAGAGGAAAAAGCACAGTCAAACTCCAGAATGTAAGCCAAAAAAAAAAACAAAACAAAAAAAAAACATTCAAAACAAAAGTATATTTAGTTGATTTGTGTGTGACAGTCAGTGCCACTGGACTATTATTCCAAGGCCTCCTGCTAAACAGAGTCTTTGTTGTCTGAAATGAAGACTTACATTGAGGTCCCTAAAATACTCATTGTAGTCCAAAGCATAGCCGACCACAAAACGATTGGGTATCTCAAAGCCAACATCTGAAAGAAGTGCATTGAAAAGACAAATGTAAACTGAAAATGTTTTCTAATCGTCTTAAAGCAGAGGCTTATCGCTACCGTAAAATGTTTTATCAGTTACTTACAGTCAGGGACAGAGGCTAAGCTGTGCTGAACTCTCTTCACCAACAACCTGGGGAAGCAAAAGCAGATACTATTCGACACCATCCGCGCCAGACTGCTTATTAAAATGTGATAAATGAAAAAAACAAAAACAAAAAAGAAGAAGTAGTTTGGTCTGTATGTGTCTTGACTGAAAGGAAGGAATTTGGTGATTCATGAAACAAGCGACCACTCTTTACCCTGCAACTTTGATCATTTTGGGTTTGAAGGCTTTTACGTGCTCTAGAAGAGTCTCCATTGTCTTTCCGGTGCCAACAATGCCCTGTGAGCGGGAACACATAGAAAAAAAGATTTTATTTTATGTAATACACTTGGTTGGGAATAAATGCCGACGTGGAAATGCAGACAATGACGAGTTTCACATCACAGTGAAAGAGAGTCTTCTCAGTGTCTCCCGCCTGTGCTCTTATTACACAACAGTTAACAAGCATCAATTTCACTTTCCCAGAAATCATATGATATTTTATACAAACACTGATAGGCTTTATACATTCTTTTACTGGTGAATATGACGGCCACTTGACAGAGATTAAAGAAGAAGAATGTTTACAGCAAACAAATAAATAAATAAAATAAAGTAAAATGCTTGACATACACAATCACATCCATGCATCCAGCTTTACATAATCTATTTATATGTGGTTTGTTATGCATTTGGTCATAGCAAAAGTAAAAAAAAAAAAGAAAAAAAATCTGTTGCCACTGTAAAGTTAAATGGTATCAAAAAGGTTGTGCTTATTACAAATGTTATGCAAATATTTTGTTGATGAATTACTTATGTGGAATACCATAGTTTTTAAGACGCATCACTATGTGCAATCTCACAGTTTGCTTAAAGTGATTTTTAAACTTAGTGCATAGCTTTTAGTCTTTTCATAGTATGAAGAGACTAAAGGTTTTTTGGTATAAAGCTTTGTGGTGTCTAGGTGCACTGACGTGCAAATTCCTTTGCTACTGAACAGACCACGTTGTGGAAGTGTAGGAGGTTTGTTGGAACATTTTTTATGTAAAGAAAAAACAGCTACCGGTGCAGTGAAAATTTGGACTGGATAGCAGAAAGAGATGGAACCAAAAGCAAACCCGTCACCCACATATACCATATGGTAACATCATTCACTTAAGTATGAACACATGCAGTGAAACTTTTAAGGGTTCCAAAACTTAGTAGGTGCCAACACCAAAGAAACAAAATACTCCAAGTCCTTTGCAACTAACTACTCTGCAGATGTTTCCACTAAATAGTGCGATAAATGATAAAAGACAAATCATCCGGTCTCTGATCTTTGTAAGCAATCATTATAAATTTCTTTAACTATGCTGTTTTTTGTCCAGCACGCCGATTCCTAATACAGAGCTGAGATTTTCTGCTTGCATGACAAAGTTAGTGAACATTGTCTGAAAAGCAGGCCTCTTGTTACTCGAATATAGGTCAGGCAATTAAAGAAAGTTTTCCTCATGTTAAAACCCAGTTTTTCTGGAAGGCAAACTTTAAATGGCCCCTTGCGACCTGAAAAACAGTCAGTACAGTGTATGAGTCTATTTTGCAAAATGGAAACGGTTAAGTACAAGGCTGACTCACCTCAACAATCAGCACGTTCTTATGAGAGCATGGTGGGGAGAGGAGAGAGGAGACAGAGCAAACAATGACGCTTGATTAGAAGCAGATTACTAAACCACACACAGTTTGCTATGACACAAAACATAAAAAAAAACATGAATCACAAGAAAAAAACATGTTTGGTTCCTTAAAGGAACAGAAAGCACACTCAAATCTAAAAGGAAAGAATTTTTTTTTAGATGTCTTAATGCAGAAGTAGTGAAACATCAGCAGCAGCACCACACCCAATCACATGTTCTAACTCTGACCATAGATTAGTAATGCTTTTATTCATTTTCTTAAAATATGCATCTGTCCTCAAGATAAAGACTGAACCAGAAAAATCTCTGCATCATCGAGATTGAAAATCTTTTCATCAGCCATACTAATCTGAATGCCAGTGTAATCGCTGAAATTCTGCAGATGCCTGTCTAATCGACAGAAAACTTGCCACAAATCACAATCTAGGCACAATCTAAGCTTTGCTTCATCTCATCTAGGCCAGGAAGCAAGTTACACATCTACAATTTACTATAGTTTGCTAATAAAATGTTCATCCAAGCATGTAATTGTGCTTTGTTTACGTCTCTTTATTCCTTTTCTTTGAATTTGTCCTACGGACTTATTTAAGGATAAGTTTGCAGGACAAGGAACCTATGAAAAATATAAACTAATGAGGTATGTGTAAAGTAGAAAGAGTCTGGGGGGAAAGTGAAACCACCTATTTAAACATTTCACAATTTCACAGTTAGCTCTCACCAGTAAAGCTATGCTTTCTTAAGTAACAAAGTTGCAGCTACATTTTATTTCCAGACACACTGGAGCTTGAGAACTTCGCACAAACACTTGAAATACTGCAAGAAAATCATAAAACAGCAAGTCAGACTTGCTACCCAATGTCCTTTTCAGTACAGTAGGTATTTACAGTAGACTGAATCTGGCTACAGGACAGACTCCTGTCCAGCTGAGGGAAAAGTCGAATGTGAATAATCAAATGAGGTGATGACGCATTAGATTGGCACTCTAAAAATAGGTTCACTAACTTATGAATGCGGTAAAAATTGCTGGTGATTCATATCCGTGCACACAGACATTCACCCGTTCAGAGATTTGTAATGAAAACCTTTGCAGAGCAGCTAAAGACGCTGGTACAAATCTCTACATCTGATGAACAAAAGCAAAATGCAACTGCAAATTGAATTTAATGTATATTTTTATATTTATTAAGATTGTGATGACGGTATTAGCAAATATGATGCTGCTGGAAGGAATCATGTACAAATATACTTCCATATTTAAGAAGCAAAATTATGATTTTATTATTGGTGAATAATAAAAACATGAGACTTAGATTTACTTGAAGGGAAATTGATGGTTTGTGTCTGTTCAGGTACAGAATGTCTTAGGAACTGGATGCTTTATAAAGGAGAATGTTTCTAAAGCTTTTGAATAGAAAAGGTGCAACAACAGAAAACTCAAAAACTAAGATTTGCTGTTTTAAACTAACATTTTGTTGGTCTGCAACTTACTTTCTGTTATATAGAATAAAAACTACTGTGATTAGCACTTTCACACAATTACCAGATAAAATACAGAGTAATGAATGAAATAAAGATACTTACTTATAACAGAATTGCATGTCCATTTGGATATTATTTTTATACCCATTATTTTTTTCTCATTTTTGACACACTTCAAACACAAACATCAGCGTATTTTATAATGACTTTAAATTATTAAGCAGAAAGGAGAGACTAGGTGTGAAAGACAAACACAAGACATGGTTTTCCAAACTTTATTCAAACCATCATTTGAAAATTGTATTATGCATTCATATTCACCCCAAACCCAAGTCCACCAATACTTTATCAGTTTTGTAGGTATGCAAAACTCTTTTGAGGTTTGAGAAGACTGAATTTTTTTTTTTTTGCTAATTTGTTTCTGGAAAAAAAAAAAAAACAAAAAAAAAACTAAATTAAATCAGACTGGAAGGAAAGAGTCTGGAAATATCAAATGTCAAATCTTGCTGCAGGACGGCTTTGGGTCTGAACTTTGAATAGATCACTCTAACACATGATTAGTTGTTGAGTTCACCAATTCAATTGTAGCTCTGACTGTACGACCAGGGTTATTTCCTAGTGGCATTTAAGTCTGCACAACAGCCTGACATCTACTGCAGATTCAAGCAGGATTTATTCCAGTGTTGCACTGTAATTTATCAACAAACTTTGGCCAACTTCACTGTCTGCCACTGCTGAAGAAAAGTATCCTTACAGCATGATGCTGCCAGCACCATGTTTCACAGGATAAAGTAATCATAGTTATGAGCAGAATTAGTGTTCCACCACAAATATCTAGCATGTAGTCGTAAAAAAATTACATTTTGGTCTGGTCCGACTATTGCACCTCTACATGTTTGCGGGGTCCCCTACGTGAATGGAAACTGGAACTAAAACTTTTTATTGCCTTTCTTTAAACAATGACTTTGTTCTTGCCAGATTTCCATAAAGGCCAGATTTGTGGAGCGTGAAACTAACAGTTATCCTTTCAACAGATTCTCCAATTGAAGCTGTGAATCTCTGCAGCTTGCAGACAGGCTTTCTTTGTGCAATTTTTCAGTCTAATTTGGCAGGTTTACAGCTGTGTGAATGGGACGATGCATAAAGAGCTTGAGACTTTGCATAACCTAACCCTGTCCTGACTTCTACAGAGTTGTATCCCTGCCTGCTGTATTCTTAGATCCTCATGTTGTGGTTTGTTCGACCTCTGAGCCCTTCAAGGAACAGCTCGATTTCTACTTTGGAAAAAATACCCACAGCTATAGAAGTTGTTTGCTAATTAGTTGATTCCTCAAGCCTTTTGTTGCACTGAATTTTATTTGGGAGTTATCAAAGCAAAGAATGAATACTATGCCTCTCTTACTTTTATCGGTAAAAGTTTTTAAAAACAATACATATTGTTCTTCCACTTATTTATGTGCATCTTTGTGTTGGTATATCACAAAAATCTAAGTAAAATTCGTGGAAGTTTGTGGTTGTAACTTTAGAAAATGTTTTTATTTTAATCTTATTGTATGACTATGTTTGCAACGTGTTTCCAAAATTGTCTATAAATGCATAGAAAGAGCACTAACTATTGCCCACAAAGAGATAAATACGTTTTAGACAGTTTAGGAAACGATCTTGCAACCTCTCAAAATAGTAGTCTTGTGACCAGCCACAGTGGTCAGCACAGTCCAAGAAGACACTTTAGGAGATAGCATAGAGATTATCAGAGCTTTGTAAACAGTCAGGATCCACTCCAGCTCAAAGGAGAACCAACTGTGATCACGTGATAACAAGACAAGCAGCTGTGCAGCGAGCCTGAAGCAACAGAGCTACAGTCATCCTGCTAATCTACATACTCACTATGTCCTCACATTTTCACCAACTCCACACTTTGGTCACACTGAGATAAAGTAGAATAAACCTTTAAACAACTGCATTAGAACAGCAGGTATCTGATTGGAGCTGTCTGACCCTGCCATCTTTGATCTGCTTTATGGAACCATCTTGTCAGGCTGAAGGAGGAGAAAAATTTAGAGGAAAGGCTGCCCTCTTGAGGTCACTGCACGGTGGCTCAATAAATGTCATCTCTAGACAACTTTGGGTTACTTTGCCTTCTAGCAATGCATGCATTTGGTTATAACATTTTTTCCCCCAGTGATGATCTCATTGAGAATCTTACCTTTCCAGCTAAAAAAGACAGGTCTTCCGCTCCCAGTATGTGAAGATCTTCTGTCGACTGGTCATTCTGCAGAAACAAATGTGTTTTAACATAGGGCTAAGCAGTATTTGAGACTAAACTGTATAACTTAAAAGCTGAATTGCATTATTTTTTGTCTTCAAATTGCACATTTATTGAGAATAAGAATAACCTCCAGGCATAAAACAAACCGATCGATAAAGGAACTCCGCAGTCATATCGGCTGTCTTGATTTTTTTTTCTCCCACGTTTGAACAAACACATCTGAGCTAAAGCTAGACAAAGATCCCACTGTCATAATGCTGACAGCGTAACACACTCATCTTCTGACTAAGTCATGAGACACAAACCCATCAAGGCTGATAATGTCAACCATTAAAGCAGCCTCAGCATCCTTAAACCGAAGCCACTTGAGGTCAGTCTGTCTCCAGCGGCTTTCCTTGACTACAGCAGAAAGAGGACAGGACGGGACGGGACAGGAGGGGGCTCACCAGGTAGCTCCTGAGTCGGATGAAGTGGACCCTCATGGGGATTGTGTGGTTGGAGTTCCGGCTGAGAGCCTTGATCCTTTCCACCAGGTCAGCACAGAACTGGTAGCCTCCTTTTAGCACGCACAGCACCACAATGTCATGGTCGCCGAGGTCGTCCATGATGTTCCTAGCAAGACGTTCTGTCCTGCAGAATGAAAAGAAAGAGAATGATTTAGAACTTCTCCGACTTTTTAAGGTCAAAATATCCCTGCCTCACTGTTAAAACTAAAACTATGGTATACTGATCATTCAAAATTACATCAAAACATCTATACGAGATGTGCTCTACCTACATATTTAGTGCATGTTAAAAATGTTACTATAGAATATGTTCTAGCATAGTTATATGTTTGACTATTAAAGTTACACCTTCTATTTTGAACAGTTTTTCATTTCAACTTTTCCATTTACACACGTTTGAAAAGACCCCAGCTTTGAGGTGGAGTACAGCACTGTTTTTGTTTTTTGTTTTTTTTTCCCAATATGCATTTTAGTTCATTTTGAACTAACTGAATTGCCATATTTCTGTTAATTTTCAATACAATCTGTGTGCACACCTCCAAATTGCACCTGAGCGCAGATTGCTGAGCTTTTCATGTGCTCAGACACATAAAGTGGATAAGGAATCTTACACATTCTCTGTGTGAAAGCTGTTCTGAAGAGATCAGCAAGTGTTTGATATAATTTTACATCACTAAAGAGTCCAGGAGAAGAAGATGGTATAAGGTCTGCATGTGTATAGCGCTTCATCAAGTCAGAGGACTCCAAAGTGCTTTACAATACATTCACACGCTGATGGCGACAGCCACAATTGCCGTGGGGCAGACTGACGCAGGTGAGGATGCTACACAATCTGAACCAACACCAGTGGGCAAGAACACAGTGACTGAGATGGAGCAGGGGTTCGAACAGGAAACAGTAAATCAAGACATCACAGCTAAATACTTTGGAAACAGAAAACCTTTATTGTTTTATTAATTCTACACTTACTAATTACAATAACAGTTTTTATGCATTAAACATTTGAAGGACTGTAATGGTACATTTGATCAGATACGTCATTAAATATTAAATATAACAGATATCCATCAGGCTGTATGCAGCGATTGAGGAAAATACAGAGGTAAAACAGACAACTTTCAGTTTTGATTTGCAACTGTTCCTCTAGTTTTTTCCCCATTTGTTTCTTTTTAAGTTTGCATTTAACAGAAGGCAGAAAAGCAAGAAAGTCGAGCTCACATAAAGTGTATGATATACCTCTGATTTCCCCCTAACGACTAGTTAATGATCACGTAAGACTTCTATGCAACCTCAGAGCAACCAAAACGGGAAGGGGAAACTTGCTTAGGCCACAGGAATCTACACAGTTTCAGTCGTGTACCTGTCCATGATCACGCCATGTGGAACGATGACACAGTCTAAATCTCCGGAGTAATGAGCGGGGTAGCTGAAGAGATCTAAACTGTAACCTGGCCAGTCATCGTTGATCTGAGAGGAGACAGTCAAACATAAACATCATTCTGTGGAGTACAGTGGAAATCACAACTTATTCACGCAGGCTTCCACGCTGCAAACTCTCTGCAGCAGCGACGCCCGCCTGCCGCTTTAGTTTAGACAAAACCAATCTACACGGAGCGCAAAGTTTTCTGATTGCGCATAAATTGAGCGCTTGTTCATTTCCTGTGAAGTTCTCTTATTAAATTACCACAATCCCCTCGCTTCTTCTATCGGCCCGAGCGTCTACTTCTGCCATGTTTTCCCGTCGAACACAAGAAGGGTCTTGTCTGAGAAAGGTGGTGGTGCAAGCCCACAGAGGGGTTTGGCACGGTGATGAGAGAGGAGGAGCATCAGAGTTAGGGAATGTGAAGCCTGTCGTGTATCGCCGCGGCCGCTAGAGGCGCTCTAACACAACGTTTTTATTGCAGCGACGTCAGGATGCGCGTGCTTCTCTTGGAAAACGTGTCAACTTTTTGTTGACTGTCTCAGGTTTAGCGGGGATGACAGACGGGGTCTGCAAGGCAACTTAGTTTTCTGAGATACTATTAAACGCTTGCGGAAACAGTTGTGCAATTAAAAAACCAAGACTACCAAATGGAATTTAAAATGAAATCTCAAATATTGAATTGTTTTTAAGTGTAGATCAATGAAGAACAAAAACATTAAAGAAGGGTTACAGTGCTGTGTAAAGCAATTCATGTCTCTTGAGCTGTATCTGTCTGTTGTGTTTGAACCACACATTATTATATTTCTATGGGTTTTATTTGATAGACCAACACAAAAGGTTGCATTGTCATAAAGTAAAAGAAAATGTTACATGTCATTAAAAAAGTTTTACAAATAAAAAATATGAACAGTTTGGCATGGATATATATTTATTCTGAGACCATAAAATAAAAGAAGTGTAACCATTTGCCTTCAGACATTATTCAGTTAGTAAATTCAGTCTGAGTATGTATAATTGTATCTCAGTATAGATAAAGCAGAATTATCCAGGTTGGATGGGTCACTCTTCGAGGTCTTTGAAGTCTAGTTCAGGATGTTATGCTGGTAATTAATAATTTCTTGACTGTATAGCTCAGTGAGAAACAGGGCCTGGGTGTGTTTAGGTTGATATAATTTAATCCCTGATTCAACAAGGAGGATCATTCTGTTATCACATTGAGTCAAGTTGGCTTGTATAATTATTTTTTTTTTTGTTTCTGAATAGATTAAATCAACATATAAAAAAAAATAATTTAGTCTTTAAGCAGGTAACATTTGGATGATATTAACATTTGAAACATTTAAGTCTGGCAAAAAAAAAAAAAAAAGCAAACCCAGAAGAAATCTACATGCTTTCATTGTATGTCTACCATGTCTATGTCCATGTCTACCCTTAACACTTAATGTCTGATTTAGTCTTTAGAGTTTTTTATTATTTCTGTCATTTTAAGTTTATGGCACGTTAGAAGCATCTTGGAAGGAGGACTTGGTCTATTTGTCACGCTACAGTAAGCAGCTTTTATGGTTGTTTTACACTTTCACGACCTTCACTTTTAAAGTCTGTAACATTACTTGGTGCAACCGTTTGTACAATTGTTGTTATCTAGTTTTAGAAATTATTTATTTATTTATTTATTTATTTATTTATTTATTTATTTATTTATTTATTTATTCAATAACTTAATGATGATGATGTTAAACAAATAAATTATCTGGTAGAAAAGCAATAATTATTCTGGTTTTGACTAAAACATCTAATTCATGCATTTTCTTGTACATGTTTGCCAGGCTGCAGAAAATAAACTGTCTGAAAATATAAAAACATGTGAAGAGGAAATGCACAGTACTTCTTTATTAAAGCAAACTGTGTTGCCACACTGTACAACGTAATCTGTGACAGTGTGTGAATGACTGTATTTTCGATAGACCACCATGGAAACTGTGTGGACAGCATGTCCAGCAGCAGCAGGGTCTGGGTTGTTGTGTCACTACACATTAGAGAGGTCTGCTAGGCGCTGTTGAAAAGGGAAGACAAGGTGTCTGGGCCCTTCCACCCGTGCTGCTCCATGGAGACCGCCTTTAAACAGCAGTACATTGTCATCTGGGGAGGCAAATGTCAACAGCAACATTAGATTTCAATCACCCTGCACATTCTCACCACCTCAAAGGGAACAAGGAGGTGTTAAAACTACCCTGCATGACCAAATCCCTCAAAATAGGATGAAACACTTCCGCGCTGTTCGAGCGATTTCACTTCATGTTTTTGTTTCAGAAGCTGAGCTGCGGGCTTCTAGCTGGAATAATCAGGCTCATCCGCAGCACTGTGGTGCTGAGCGATGCTGCACAAGCCAGAAGATGTTTTTGGGTGAAGTCTTGTCAGATTGTTTTTGATGCCCTCTTTCTCTCTGCTGGGGAGAGCAGGCTGGCTCCTCTGGTGCCCTCGGGGTGCAGGGGAGCAGTCTGGCTTTGGCATTTCACACTCGCTCAGCAGTCAAAGCCTGTGACCGTCCGCAGACTTTACCGCCAAGTGCTCCCTTGCGCCCTCGCCCGCATGTTGTTTGGCCAATTACGGATATTCAGTTAGTATGAAAGTAATTCTGGCAGACATGCAACTGTCCGGCCAGATAACGTCACAGGTCTGATTTGAATACAGGATATTATCTTTTTTTTTTTCTGTCTACACTTGATGCATTTCATACAGATATCAGCAGCAGTAATAATAATAATAATAAAACAAACTGGCATTCAGAATAACAACATCATTAAGACTTTAAACATTTCAGATGCATCTGTGAATCTGAATAAATCCGATTGTTTCCAGTTTGTCCTTGAAGTGTCCTGTTGTGACTGATCCTGGATGAATGTCAGCACTGGTCATAAACAGGCCAAATAAAAAACTCTTAATGGATAAGTGTTTGGTTTGGGTTAGCCTTGTGTCTTTCAGTCTTTCTTTCACTCCAGATTACTTTGCTCCACCCAGTGATCCTGGATTAAATCCAGAAACAGTCTAAAATTAAAATTATTTATTTTTTTACTTGAAACCATCTTGACAACAAAACTCAGTGAAACCTATTCTTAGCTTAAAAACAGAATAAGATATAATATATGGCTTCCACCACTGTTACTTTAGATAAGTATGATATAGTCTGACACGGTCTATTGTTTTTATTTTATAATAGCAACTGGAAATACTGAGCCTCTTTTGCAATCACTTATCGCTAACAATAAAGGGGATTAAATAGAAAATCTAGGTTAATTTCATTTCTTTGAGAAATAATATAGAGCACATTTTATTACACCATCTAGCAGCCATTGTTTTTTTCTTTAGAGAATTTTGCCACTTTAGAAAACATTTAAAGAGAATAAAGCTGGTTCACTTAGGTTATCTTAAACAGAAATCCTCAATTTATATTTTTCAAGTGGACATGATGCAGAATGAAAACATAGAGAAAAAATGTACGCAGTAAAATCCTGTTTTTAAGTTTGAGTAATTCACCACTTTTGGTGTATTCCAGGGACCATGTTGCATCGCTACACACAAGGTCGCACATGGTAATTGCAATATTTTTTGTATCTCTTTTCTTTAAAGAAAATAATGTTCATCTTTAAAAACTGCAAACATACAGACAGTTTTGGCAAAATTATTTTCATAAGTTTAACTTTGAACTTAGCTTATATGTAAAAGTCAATGTAATTTAATTTGCATAATTTTTGGGGAGTTGGATAGTCATTTTTAGAAACAATACATAATGTCAATAAGCAACAGCTTAACAACAAAACAAATTAATTGCTTTTTAGGTGGGCTATGCATAAACCTCACTATTAATTTTTTTATTTTCTTTTTTCACATTTCATTTATCATTACCTGTTCTGCAGGTTTCTTAGCTAACCTCTGAAGGGAGACAGCAAATGTTTTGTTTGGCTTTAGCCGTGGTTTCCATACAGAAACTGTATTTTGGCAAGCATAAAACAATATCTTTTAGAAACAGATTCAGGACTGGAAGAAGTAACTGTGCCACCCTTTCACTTTAAAAGAATGATAGCATAACCCCACTGTGAAAGCTTCACAAGCGTACTCCAATATTTCCATTGTTTTTGATTCATTTCAGTTGAAGTGTTGCAGTGCCTGATAAACACCAGATTGCAGAACATGTGCCTTCATAAGTACCCACATGAATTTTGTGGTATTCCATTCTTAACACACTGCATTTAACATAACAAGCTATAACAGCTTAATCTCTTCTAGGAAGCTTTTCACAAGATTTTGTAGGATTGTGTTTATACAAATGTATGACCAGATTGTTAGATTAAAAGGCCTGACTCAGAGTACCTGCTCTATTTCATCCCAAAGGTTTTTGATCAGGACTGTGCAGACCAATCAAGTTGGGCCATGTTAAACCCTCTCCTCCTTTTTTTTTTTTTTTTTTTTTTTTGTGTAGACCTTGCTTTGTTCACTCATGCACAGTCATGTTGGGACAGGAAGGGACCGTCTCTAAACGGCTCCCACAAAGTTATACATTTCATGACAAGACTTACAGGTGTACAAGTTGGAGGCTACCAATGTACTGTTTTTGAACTCAGCACCTGAGACTGCACATTCATTTAAAAAAAAAAAATGCTTGCAGAAGCTGTCTGCATACCCATTTACTTCAATCATTTTGCATGTGAATGAAGACATTTCCAGAAACAATGAGGCGCTTACAAGGACAATCCTCATTTCATCATGAGGACTCAGCATAGAAAGAAAAAGAAGCAGCTCTATACCTGCACTGTAGTACATATTATTTTAATGTGTTGAAAACCCTTTGCAACAAGGCAAGTCAAGCACAACAGGTGCACATAAACACATGTCGAAAGTTCATGAGCTAAATCACAAAAACAGAGGACCAAAAAAAAAGAAAAAAAGAAAAAAAAAGTAGCATGCCAGTAAAATCAAATACAAAAGTATAAGTCACACAACATAAAAAATAACTATAAACAAGGTTGGGCTGCTTATAAAACACAATTATTTGACATAATATCATGTTCAAATATTGGATGTTTAATGACTAACATTTGTTCATAAATGTCAGAATGAACTTCATGTTTGTTTTCAGTTCTGCTAAAGAACCCGCTGAATCATGTAATCGACCAAAGGTGTAATGCGCTCCAGAAGGCGTAGTTCGACAAAATGGGAATGTACTCTTCTTTACATGTCCATCAGCTGAGCCGTAGGTCATACTTCTTTATGTAACGATAATCAGTGACTTAATGCTCGGAGCGGCTCCAGAGCTGTGCTTTAGAATCAGGAAGAAGGATCCACTGTGTGGAAAAACTCTGGTTAACATAAAGATGTCCCTGTATCAGTGGATTGCGTCTCTGTGTATTAAA